TTTTCAGGATACTTGGAAGATGGTTTATATTGTGGATTAGGACTTCTAGTGTTGTTCCTAGCTTTTCTGTAATGAAGTTGCAGTACAGCTTCTTAAGATAAGGCTAGTGAAGATTAAAAAAAAAAAAGATGCTTACTTGTTTTTTCTAAATTACTTCTATTGTGGATAAAAGTTGTTTCTACTTTTTAGAATATATTCATGTATGTAAAATTAATAATGAAATTTTAAAAATAAGTATTTTGAAAAACACACAAGGATTGAACTTGGTAAATATTTGTCAAAATATTTAAGCTAACCAAATAAAAGATGAATCATGTCTTTAAAATTAGAAAAGCACTATAAAGACACATGACTTGAATGGAGGAATGACAACTCAAGAGCAAAGTGTCCTTAGTTACAAAAGCCTCAGGTTATCTAATGATACAAACATGCAAAGAGTGTTAAGAATGCAAATTAGTAGGAAAATGAGGTCAACAAGTCTGATGATGTGCTCCACCCTTCAGTGGGGATGTATATAAAAGGCAGTGTGTAGGTAATAGCATTCAAACTTAGAACACAGACTCCTGCTGTTCAACTAGACTCTCTACTACTGAAATCATGTGCTACTACGGCAACTACTACAGAGGCCTGGGTTATGGATATGGTGGTCTGGGCTATGGCTATGGCTGTGGTTATGGTAACCTAGGCTATGGCTATGGTGGCCTGGGCTGTGGCTATGGCTGTGGTGGATATGGATATGGCTGCTGCCGCCCATCTTGCTGTGGCAGATACTGGTCCTATGGTTTCTACTGAGAAACTTCCAAGGGAAATTCAGTCTACTGGACCCTCCCAACTATGCATATGGCTTCTGTCTTCAGATGAATGACATTTTTTCTCTTTTAAAGCATCAATGTCATCATATAGTAGCAGAAATTAAAAAATCTGCAAGCTTACATCTAGCTCCATTAACATTTATTTTGAAAGCTCTATTTTTGGTGATGTATTGCTGTTATGATCCCTTAGGTCTTTCATTAACAACTTTTGTGTGAGAAATTTAAATATATATTAATAAAACTATAATTTGTTGAAAATATAAATTAATTGTCATTGAGCTCATTTGTTTCCCCTCAGTCTGTATATAAATGTGTATGTAAAGATAGTGCGAGAAGAAAATATGAGACCAAAAGACCACTGTCATGAGAGTTTCTTAATCTGATGATGATGTCAGAAAACAAGTCTGTCATCAGTTTATATAAAATGTGTGTGTCTTCATAAATTTATAGTTCTGCAACTTTTGTCTGAGCATCACATCTTATCACTTTCTAAAAGTTTGTACATTTGGGTCTGCTGCATTATGTGCTGGTAAATCTTTCTCAGGCTAGGGATGGAGGAATACTTGCAAAATTTCATAACATAAATACTCTCCTTATGACTGATTTAAAGTTATCAACATTGCAACACTAAGTTCAGAGTGGTGAGTTGAACAGAGCAGTACAACCTGCTTGCTGTATACCTCCCAGAAACTTCAAAGTTAAATCTGCCTGAAATTCTAGTGCATATACTTCTAACACTATAAGGCCTTGATTTCTAATACAAAAAACAACGAAATACTCAAACATGTTGTTATTGTCAGATGCTGTCAAGTGTGACTCATAGTGATCCTATGAAAAACTGATCTGAGAACTGACCTATCTTGTGCCACCATCATTATCCCAGACTCATTGGAGCCCATTGCAGCAATTATTGCATTAATTCATCTGGTAAAGGGTTTCACAATAAACTGTGGCTGAATCAGAGAAGAATAG